CAGGAGATAGAATAGCACAGTTATTAATAATACTAAGCCTACATGATAAATTTTCTAGTCATTCTAAAGAAAGAGGTTCCAGGGGATTAGGCTCCCCGGGTGTAGATTGGACTATGCTTCCTTTAAATTTAGATTTTCGCTCCATGCTAAAACTAAATATTCAAGGACAGGAAATTAATGGGCTACTGGATACAGGTGCAGACCTTAGCATCATATCTCGTCAAGAATGGCCAAAACATTGGCCATTACAACAAGCCACTCAAAGGCTTTGAGGCCTAGGAGTGGCAACTAATCCCCATAAAAGTGTGATGGTATTAGATTGGAAGGATCCTGAAGGCTGTGAAGGAATTATACAGCCCTCTGTATTGGATCATATTCCCATAAATTTATGGAGATGAGATGTCCTAGATCAATTAGGACTAACATTAACAAATAACATCAATTCAAATGTGTCCACTATTATGTCTAGACAAGGTTTTAGGAAAGAAAAAAGATTAGGAGAACAATAACAATGTATAGCAGCACCAACACAAATAGATAAAGCAACAGAGAGACATGGATTGGATTTTCAGCAAGGGTCACTGAGACAATCAAAATTACTTGGAAATCAGAAAGACCGGTATGGGTTCCTCAGTGGCCCCTGACTAAAGAAAAGATACAAGCAGCCCATGACCTGGTCAAACAACAATTAGCGAAGGGACATATACAGCCTTCTGTATCTTCCTATAATACTCACATTTTTGTCATCAAAAAAAAAATCTGGTAAATGGAGATTATGGCAAAATTTAAGAGCCATTAATAATGAGATGATTATTATGAGACCTGCTCAATCATGTACTTCCAAATTGTCTGCATTGCCAAAAATCCTGGTATGTTTTAGTTATAGATATTAAAGATTATTTTTTTTCAATTCCAATTCATCCTGAGGATAGTCCACATTTTGCATTTACTATCCCGGCACTGAATTATGAAGGTCCTGATCAGAGATATGAATGGAAAGTACTCCCTCAAGGGATAGCTAACAGCCCAACTATGTGTTAAATTTATGTTAAAAAAGTAATC